CAAGAGAGGAGCCCGATAACTGAAAGATCTTCTTCCCATTCTGCTTCTGGAAACTCTAGGAACGACGAGTAAGCCTGCAGTCTGAGAGTGAAGTGCTCCGTTAGAAAAATATGGAACAAGAAGATCTCGAATATAAGATGGAGCTAGGTTGTTGAGAGCTTTGTAGGTTCGAAGTAAGATTTTGAATTCAGTTCTGGACTTAACAGAGAGCCAATGGAGAGAAACTAAAACTGGAAACAAGTGATCTCTCCCACTAACTTCAGTTAAGACTCTGGCAGCAGCATTTTGGATCAACTGAAGACTTTGTAAAGAAGTATTTGGACACCCAAATAACAAACCATTGCAATAGTCCAGTCTAGACATGACACATGTATGAACCAGTGTTTCTGCATCATATTTAGATAAGATGTTTTTAATTTGAGCAATATTAAGCAGTGATGATGCAAAATGCTGAATACCTGTCTGACCTCTAAAGTCAAACCAACATTTATCACCTTTTAGTCAAATAAAGAATGTTAATTTAACATTTACTTCCATCCATCCATTATCTTTTAACTGCTTCTTCCATTTTGGGACACGGGGGGTCGCCGGTGCCCCTGTCCAGCAATCACTGTGAGAGGGGCGGGGGACACCCTGGACAGGTCGCAAGTCCATCACAGGTAACATTTACTTAGTACATGAAATTATTTTTACTCATAATTACAACAATAGTTAGTCAAACTAATGCATAATAATGAGCTGAAATAACAAACGGGCAAAAATTTATTTTTAAAGTGTAGCAATTATTAACATTGTGAAGAACAAAAGGAATAAAATCAATTTTGGTCACATATTTTGACACAATCTGCTGAATTCTTTCGGCGGATAACTTTAAATAATTAGTATTTGTGAATGTTTTGTACCATATCTTGAAATGATTTTTTTGTTGTGGACTGGTGCTATACTATATAATATATTAATATACTAAACTAAATTAAATTGTACCTTTTTTTTAACTTTACTTCTCTTTCAGATTTGTGAACTAAGACGCAAAGGTATCATACAATCAACAACACACATGTTAACTTCTTGAATAAAAAAACTGTAGCAGATTGTCAACTGAATCCAGTCTTATTGTTCAAATGTGGTCTGGCCTACAGTTTAATCTTTGCTGACAAAAATACAGCAACACTGTAAGGATAAACAGCTCATGTGGAAAAACGTTAAATTATGCTCAACACAATCGAAGTAAATCAGATGCACTGTTAAAATATAAATGCAAAGGCTGTGAGATCAAACAAGCCCAGGTGAGCGTGAAAGCTACTGATGGAAGCTGAAAGCGAATTGTTCCTGGGTGGGTGTTTGGGTGTGAATAGACGTAATGAGAGGGTCATGGGTGGGGGGTGGGGGGGCTTATATTTCCAGTGCCTTGCCTTGATGTCTTCTTTTAACTCAGCTATAAGCTTCCCCAGAGGGAAACAGCCTGGCTTACGGACAGAGGGAATGCACAATTATCTCTACAAACACAAAAATTTACATACATACTAAATGTGTCTGTTGCACACTCATATATCCACTGATAAACTGAGGCATCTACCAACACAAAGCTTTTATATTCAGTCAGGTCCTTTTCTCTTACTTGCTATGTATATTTAAACACACGCTTCTGATCCGCTCTTATCTCTACACTCATCTCCTTTCACCCTCTACTCGCCGTCTTCCCACAAGCGCTTTATGTGCAAAAAAAAAATAAGAAACAAGGCAGAGGAGACAGGGGGCTTTGGTGAGATGGGGGTTGGGTCTTATAATGGAGGATAAATCTATCCTCATTTAGCCCAAGCACTGTGTGTGGTCCTATCCTTGTGTCATAACTCTGGCGTGTCAGCAACGACTGGGAACATGATTTCCAAAAGGAGCAATTAGATGTCCGGTTTTTGCAACATCAGCAGGAGAAGAAGAAAAAAAGGGTGATAGGTGGAAGTCCTTCTGAACAATACAGAAAAGGAAGGAGAGAAGTGGAAGATAAACTGAGAAAAGAAAGAACAGGAACAGAGCTGGTACCCCTTGATAAGGTACTGTTGGATCAAAAGATGTTTTGGACCTATGCATGGACACACACACACCAATTTATTTTATTTTATTTTTTGTCATTTATCCTTTATTTATCCAGTGTGTCCATTTACACACACATTCGCTTGACTTTAACGTTTACACTGTAACCTTTAAAATACAAGGCACAGACTATTTAACAGAGTAACATTAACAATTTAAAATGCACACAAATTCTTCAGGGATTTGTTAGAAGGTGCTGGAAGAGATCGGCTTTCACTGAAATGGAGTACAGACGGTACCGCAGACCTCCAACGCAGGACCACCTATTACAGCTTCAAATAAACTAAGAGAAGCAGTTAATTTTCCATTGAACTGATTTATAAATGTAGATATGCCTATGTCTGGTGATGTGTACTGCATGTGTAGACATGAATGGAGGAGTGTGTATTTATTGTTTTACTTGTGCATTTTGTGGAGTGATTTTAGGACTTTTCAACGTTAAGACTTGCCAGATGCTAAAGATGAATTTCCATTTTATGTAAATGTAATGCACAATAAAGTTATTATATTTTATATTTTAGATCAACAATACAGCAATGTTCAATCAAGTCATCTGACCGTTTCTTTTTTTTTTTTTTTTTTTTTCTGAGACGTTTCGTCTTTCATCCGAAGGACTTCTTCAGTCTGAGAAGCCACAAACAAACTGGAGTGCCACAAATACCACACTCCCATATTGGAAAAAAAAACAAGTTTGTTCATGAGTAGATGGTTTCTGGGGCCCACCCTTTCCCCATCACTCCTCTGAGGCAGTCATGCCAAAATGGTTCAAAACACCAACAGCTCAATAATCCAGGTTACAAATCCAACAATGTTCAGTCAGGTCATCTGGACAGTTTATTTTTTTCTTTTTGCTGAGACGTTTTGTCCTTCATCCGAAGGACTTCTTCAGTCCGAGAAGCCACAAACAATGACATTTTTTTCCACTATGGTTGTGTGGTATTTGTGAGACTCCAGTTTGTTTGTGGCTTCTCGGAATGAACATTGGATGAAGGGCAAAACAGCTCAGCAAAAAAAAAGAAAAAACGTCCAGATGACCCAACTGGACATTAATGGATTTGCAACCTGGATTACTGAGCATGAACTTTTGGTAGATCAACAATAGTTCTAACCAAAAATAAATAAATAAAAAGATTGTTTAATCTAGAAAAAGGAGTACAGGAGAGTAAACACAAAGGTAAACTAAATAAATTTCTTGACTTTAAAATCTCAACAGAATGATTTTCAACAGGATAAGTACAGTAAATGCATTTCAGACTGAACCAGAAGAGATTCATGAATTCATCCTAGGGATGCACGATATTATCGGCATGGTATCGATATCGACCAATATTAGCGTTAAAGTTCAATATCGGACATCGGCCATTCCATCAAAATAACTCGCCAATATAAAAGACGCTGTTTTTTTATGACAACCCAGTGACAAGGATGCCAGCAGCAGCACAACGTCATGACGTCACACGCCTTTACCTTTACCTGATTTACTTGTCTAAATAAAGGTTGAATGAACACGCGCCTACTTGATCTGATCACAGCTGAGAGGAAGAAGTCAAAATATCGGTGGTGTGGAAGTTTTTTTTTTCAATGAGGATGTTGGGTTCCGAAGATTTCTGGACTACGTTGAGCCTCTCTACATTGTCCCCAGTAGGAGATATTTTTCCGACGTAGCCTTACCCGAGTTACAAGCCATCATTTCCGACGTCATTGAGAAGCTAATAGCAGATAGCACTTGGGTGAATTTTAACACAGACATCTGGACGTCGTGTTAGCCCCGTTAGCATGATTAGTCTTACGGCACAATGGATAGACAAAAACTTTGACCTTTAAAAGGCACAAGAGTGCAGAGGATCCCACACTGCAGCTAGGAACCCAGAACAAGCTTCCACAAGTGAGACAGCATCGCAGGTGACTAATGCTAATAAATAACATTTAACACTTTTCATTTAATATAAGTCAAAGTGCTATGCATATCATCTGGCTGTTACTGAATATATGTCACGAGCTCAGAGCTGTTACACACATTTTGTAGCAAATAAGCCTAAATAAGAGGCCTATGTTCTGACAAAGGAAAGTATATAACATATCGGTATCGGTTATCGGCTAAATAAGTTTTAACATATCGGATATCGGCCAAAAATCCAGTAACGTGCATCCCTAATTCATCCACTTCCGGTTCAGAATTTTCAGAATAAATTGAAACTGAAAACTTACAGAGCATTTATTTTACAGTTGATATAGCAAGTTTTGCAATCAGATAAACAGATATGGGTGAAATACTGTTTTATATTGTGGATTATCTTACACCTGTTAAGGATACTGTGTGGTTGTTATAGTTTATAAGAATAATAACTAAAACATTACGGACTAATTTATATTAAAACAAATGTATAAATTGTGCCAACGTAGAAGAATATTTTCTCCTGATCTAGATTTGAACTTGGAATAATGGAGGTTTAAGATTGCCTCTCAAAGTAATTGCGTCAATAAAATAAGTAGTGTATAATGCTGTGTAATATGGATTTTCTCCCCCACAATTAAAGTTTGTCCTAAGTAATTTAGCCTTAATGGATTTTATGCTGTCTTTCTTTCAAAGGCTGTTAATGCTGCATGAAGCAAATCTGACACCTTGAATTCTGTTGAAAGAATTTAAATTAGCGTCTTGAATTTTAATAAAAAACGATTACCATAAAATGTTTTGACACGTCACTCAATTCTAACAGCAACCACCTGCACCACAAATTAGGAGTGATCCAGAAATCTAAAGAGTTGAGGTGCAGGTACTGGCTTTATTGTCAAGAATCCTTCAAAACCAGCAGTAAGAATGAGTTGGGTCACTCAGCCTTCGTTGCTATGCAGTAGATGATGGTTTTGTATTAAAGCTGAAAACTACAATTTCTTGAAAGCACCGTCATTCACAGAGTTGAGATGTACCTGTATATGGAGACGTTCTCTATAAGATCTGCAGTCTCTGTATCTGTGATGATAATGCCTTTTGGTGACACAGTCAGCGTTACTTTCCGAAACTTCTTGGCACCGGCTCTGGCCTGTAGATAACAAATATTAAAACACCCACACAAATTAAAATCAGAGAGAGACAATTTTGCTTTGTTTAGATGCAGAGCCAGCCTGCCAGACTGACAAGAATTTAGAATATAACCTCTAAATGAACAACCAAAACCCCTTCAACTCTGACAATACACAGCTGAGCAGAATCATACAGCTTGCTTTGTCCCAGAAATCTACTATGAATTTTATAAAAGGCGACAGAACTGGGGGAGGAATGCTGCAATGTGTAACCCGCAACGAGCGCTCGAGGTCGGGCTGGCAGCCACCGGCTCCCCCTGCTGCTGTGCACCATCTGGAGTTTCAGCAAATTCAGCCGTAGTGCTGAGCTTGGAGTCTTTAACAGTGCCTGTTGACAATGACAGTGACCTCTTTACTATGCGGATAAAATATGAGAGAGAGCAGTTCAGCATCTCAGTAACGTAATGACAGGTTAAGAATCACACGAGTGATTGCGAAGGAACCAAGCTGAGAGGAACGAAAGGAAATAAAGAAAAATAACTCTTGTTTTTTACTGCTTAACCTAATTTAAACTGATTGAGAATGCTTGGATATTTTTTGCTTAAGCAAACTAAACTAGGACTTCTCAAGGACAAGAAATAATGTCATGGTTGGCTGTAGGGGCCAAAATTCTCTTGAGACAGTGATAATGAAAATAAGTCTTTGCTTAAGCCTTAAAAATGTTCAACATGGAAAAAAAACCTGCACTGATAAGAAAGGGAAAGGGTGCTGTAACAGACCGTAAGACTATGACAGTCATGCAGAAGCAGCTAGAAACTCTACTGTCATGTTACTAGTGTCATGCCACCAGGCAAAACCCAATCTGTCAGCTTGAGATATACCAAGTTCAGCTTTCTTTGATATGTTTAGTCCCTCTGCCTTGTGTTATCATGTGTGAATGAAGCATGTCACAGATGGAAAAATCACAAATGTATTCAACAGTCCCCATTTGGGTTGATTGGTTTCCAAGGGAACACACAAAGACAAAAAGTTTCTTTTTTTTTTTTTGGTCTTGGTGAAAATCAACTGAATTTTAATCCTGCAATTAGGTTTGGTACAGGCTTTAATTGAGAAGTGTTTTTTTTTTATTAGACGTCTGTTCCAGGCTGTTCTTACAAAAAAAAGGAAATCTTTAACAGCATTCCAGTGTTAAATGAATGTGAATAATCTGAAAGGAAACGAGTAGAAAAATTATGAAAATGTAAAGGGTTGTCACACATAAAACATGCAAGTAACTGGGGCATTTAGATTTCTGTCAAATGACTGCATTAACGGTAAGTGAATGAATGTTTGCAGTTTCAAAACGAGCCCTTTCAAAACTGACAGCATTTTAAATCCACAAGTGCAGGTGAAATTCCCTGTGTTATGTTGTACTGCTGAGCAGCATCATAATTCATTTGCAACTCTTTATTCTCCAGAATAGAAAAAAGAACAACTAATATCTAAAACTGACTTTAAGCTCACCCTATTGTTTATGGTGTTTAAACATAAACTACTCTGGAACTAATTAGGAGACAATTGCAAAATCATCTGTTTATATGATTTCCTCTGACTTTATTATTTATAATTACCGTATTTTTCGCTGTACAAGTCACTTTTTTTGCCTAATTTACATGCCCTGCGACTTATATGCCAAAGCAATGCATTTATGGATTTTTTCCCATAGTTATAAACCAATTTTTGGCTGAGATATGACGGTTCTCATTCATTCTAACTGAAAATATTGAACACTAACGTTTTCATTTTATGACTGTCAGATCTACCTGCCTGTGAAACCAGCCAGTGTTTGCTCCATTCACACTCTGTTAAAATGTCTGGACGACATTAAGGCCTGGATTTATTCAAATTTCTTAAGTTTTAACGATGAGAAGACTGAAGTCATTGTCTTTAGCCCTAGCTCAACTGCTGCCTCTGATTCTGTCAACCTGGACTCTCTTCAGCCATATCTTAAGCAGTCTGGTCAAAATCTCGGGATGGTTTTAGACTCTGACTTCAAGTTTGACAAACAAATCAACTCTGTTCTGCAGAAAAGCTTCTTCCAACTAAGACAGGTAGCTAAGCTCAAGCCAGTGTTGTCCAGACCCGACCTTGAGAAACTAGTCCACGCCTTTGTCACGACCCGATTGGACTATTGCAATGCACTCTATGCTGGTATCAGCCAGGCCTCCATCTCACGTCTTCAGCTCGTCCAGAATGCTGCTGCTCGGCTTTTAACCGGAACTCGTAGGTCTGAACATATTACTCCAGTTCTGTCCTCCCTTCACTGGCTCCCTGTTCGTACGAGGATAGTCTTTAAAATTATTCTGTTGACCTTCAAATGCTTAAATGGCTTCACACCCCTTTACCTCTCTGAGCTACTGCAACCATACGTTGCCTTTCGGGCCCTGAGATCTTTCGATCGGCTGCTTTTGGCTGTTCCAAAAACAAGACTGAAGCTCAGAGGAGATCAGGCTTTTTCAGTCATGGGGCCCCAAACTCTGGAACAACCTGCCCCCCAACATCAGGCAGACCACCTCCCTTCCTCCCTTCAAATCTCGGTTAAAAACACATCTGTTCTCGCAGGCATTTCACACAGTGTAAATTGATTTAGTGTTTTTGTTCTGTGATCCTATGTTTTAAATGCTTTTTATTAATTCTTCAGTTATTATTATTAGTATATTGTATTTTTTTTTCTCTTTCATTTTACTCCCATTGATTGTTGTTGTTGTTAAGCAATTTGATAAAAGGTTCTGTTTTAAATGTGCTCTATACATAAAGTTGACTTGACTTGACTTTCAGCCACTAGATGGCAGTCGAGCAATATGGCATGCCGTTGTATCATGTAATAGGTAAAAGTGGCTATTAATTATGACACAATTGGCTTGCAATGGCCTGCCATCGTCTGCCTGGAGCAAACGTCAAATCAGCTTCATTTCTCTGCGTCGCCCCAGTAAAATGCAGCTAATTTGACCATTAATGTGCATTTATTAAGTAAAAGTTCAACTGAGACACACCTTTGCTATAAAGCCGAGCAAACAAAAAATTGTTTTTAGGTGGTTATCTTGTTAAATTTTCAAGCAATGGACAGCAGCAAGTTGCACTCTGCACGTTCATGTTTCAATGTTACGGCTTTTGAAAAGGCAGCTGATTTGACCATCAAGGTGCATTTATTAAAGAAAAGTTAGATTGAGACACACCCTTACTACAATTTTGAGCTAGCAAATAATTGTTTTTAAGTGTTAATCTTGTTAAATTTTTGTTAAAGACCTCCCGTAAACGCTCCTGCGACCGCCATTTGGCAGCCAATCGATTTTTGGCACAACACCAGCCCACATTTCCAGGTTTGGCCCACATTTCCGGGTTGTTAGCGGTGACGCATAACAAACGTTATGCAACAGCGGTGGTGCATGATAGATGTGACGTATGCCCATTCATGATAATCAAGTTCAGTATCCTTTCATTGATTTTTGTTGCCTTCACACTATTAGATGGACATTTTTCACCTCTTCCCCTCATCTTCTTCAAAGTTAGCTGCTTCATGCCGCCTCCTTTTTGTTGATTCCATTCAACAAACTCAGCTTGCTCTTTAGGGTGAAATCTCTGGAGATGCTTGATTGAGGTGGAACACCTGGAGAGCTGGTGCAATGACAAATAACCTTCACATCAATGTGAAGAAGACAAAGGAGATGATCGTGGACTTCAGAAGGAACAAACACACCTACACCCCCCTGAACATAAGAGGATCTGCGGTGGAAGTGGTCTCCAGCTACAAGTACTTGGGTGTACACCCGAATAACAACCTCAGCTGGAGCAACAACACCACCAGCCTGATCAAGAAAGTTCATCAGAGACTCTACTTCCTCAGGCGGCTGAGGCGAGCTGGTCTGGGAAGCTCAGTCCTCACCTCCTTCTACAGGTGTGCAGTGGAGAGCATCCTGTGCTCCAGCATCAACGTGTGGCATGGAGGCTGCACAGCTGCAGAAATACAAATCTTTGCAGAGAGTGGTGAAGGCTGCACAGAAGACTGTTGGAGTCAGCCTCCCCACCATCACAGACATTTACACCTCCAGATGCAGGAAGAGAGCCACCTGCATCATGAAAGACCCCACTCACCCAGCACACACACTTTTTGCCCCACCCCCCTAGGAAGGAGGTTGAGGAGCATTAAGTGTAGAACCACTAGACTGAGGAACAGCTTCTACCCTGAGGCTGTTAGACTCATGAATCTCTAACCAGAGTAATCACTGTGAAGAATCACATCATGTTGCTGTTGATCTGTTTCATGTTGATGTGTTCATGCATGTTCATCTACTCACACAGGCTCATGCTCATGTTTGTTCTGCTGTTCGAGGTAATGTTTTTATACTGTTAGTGCTTAGTGTATTTTTAGTTGATGTTTATCTTAGTTCATATCTTAGATCTTATTACTGTTTTTCTTTTACATTTTATTGTTGGATGTAACTGGGACCCTGTGTGCATAATTTCGTTCCACCACATGTACCACTTGTGGTGTGAATGACAATAAAGAATCTCTGACTCTGACTCTGACTAAGTTGGTATACCTGGAAGTTTTAGTGCCGCCCCTTGGAACAGTTCGTTGTGCACGTATTGCACGTAGCTATCGAATGTGTTGGCTGAGGTAGTGTGAAATAGTTCCAGATGACTGATCCTTTTGTTCGCTCCATTTTGAAAACAATTTGTGCGGCGAGTTCACTAGTGCGCAACGTCGCTCAGAGCACAAAGCATAGAATTAGACTGAATAGATCTGCCCTTATGGATCAGTCACATTGTCATGATACCCAATCAAGATTTTTTTTTTATATCAGAACTGATACAGATATTAATATCAGATCGGTACATCTCTAGATACAACTAACTGAAAACTGTCTGCGGATTCAGCACAGCGACTGTGGATATTAGATAATCTTCCTCATGTATCTGCGCTTTTATTCATGCACAGAGCTGCTCCTCGTTTAACTTTTCAAATATTAGGACAACATGTAAGAGAAAGAATGCAGGCTGTGGTGATGGAAATAGAATTCCAGTATAAAAACATTACAACTCTGCTAATTAGTCAGTGTAAAGGAAAAAAGATACATTTTCCTAGAAATGACTCAGAAGTTTGTCCTGTAAGACAGACTGATATTGGCTCATTATTTTAATATAAATTGGCTGGTTATGATATGCAGATTAGGTTAGCTAAGAATCAACTAGGTTATATTCAGATCCATTTCATCTCAATGTGGTGGTGATGTTGGTTGCTGCTCTTTCCTGAGTTGTCTCATACATTTTCAAACAATCCCATTAAATATATATTACCAACAGATTTGAACATTAATAATTTCTAAGGCGGTTCCAAAACATTCCCAATAAGACATAAACTCTGACTTTATACCTAATTGCTTTTAAAATGACTTCTCTTTTCTTTTTATGTCTTACTTCTAACAAAGTGATCCAGATGTCACAAATTGAAATCGTAAACTTTTTAAATGCTTCTACCTGGAAATGTGGAAATTTGACTGTATTTTTTCTGACACAATAGCAGATAGTACATAGTTGTTTGGGTCAGAGGGACAGGAGAGGATGCTTACCGTTGCAACGATTCTGTGGATGGCAGCTGAGGCCATGTCCTCTCCTTTAGGCTGGCCCACCAGAGTCATACCCAGGTATTTTACATTGAACACCATCCCCTCCAGCAACGTCTCCTTGGTGTCAGTCCAGTTCTCTGGCAACTCTGATTGGACAAAATAACAGATCACAAATAATAAATGTTTGCTTTTTATACAACCAAGGAAGGCCATATATGTACTCTAAATTAATTATTAATTATTTTATATGTCTAAATAAAGGTTGAATGAATTAAAATTCAACCTTTATTTACAGGTTAGTCTCATTGAGTCACGGGGACTCATTTTCAAGAGAGACCTGTTTTAAGCAAAAACCACAGATGAGGTACACACAACAATAAAACAATCATCCATCCATCCACCCATCCATCCATCCATCATCTTTACCCGCTTATTCCATTTTGGGTCACGGGGGTCGCCGGTGCCCATGTCCAGCAATCACTGTGCGAGGGGCGGGGTACACCCTGGACAGGTCGCAAGTCCATCACAGGGACACATTGAGACAAACGAGACAAACAACCATTCACTCTCTCACTCACACCTAGGGACAATTTAGAGTTACCAATCAGCCTAACATGCATGTTTTTGGTCTGTGGGAGGAAACCTGAGTACACGGAGAAAACCCACGCATGCACGGAGAGAACATGCAAACTCCACCCAGAAAGGCCCCTGGACCGGGGTTTGAACCAAGGACCTGCTCGCTGAGAGGCAGCAGCTCTACAAGTTGCGCCACCGTGCTGCCCTAAAACAATCATATAAAAGTATATAAAATGAGAAATAAATAAAATAAGTGATATAAAATGAAACAAAGACAAACTATATTATACAACAGTGTAAAATACTAAAACGTAAAAACAGCAACATAATAATGAAACAAACTTCACACAAACATGCATTAATTTTTTTGTAGTGCTCAAACACATAACACAAATTAAATAAATTAAACTGGTTAAACTCTATAGGTTGGCAGTATATATTGGAATCCATTGGGAGCTCTTCAGGTTTCACTGAGATCTACTATCCATGCATTTTGGGAAGAAAGTTACACTGTGTGGATAAAACAATAAGGATCTCAGACAAAGTGTGCAAAATGTGTGATATATCTTGTTATTTCAAACAAGCAGAATCCCACTACTCTTGTAGGTTGTGTTTGGAAATAGCATCCATAGGGGGCTGGAACTTTTCTCAGCGATACCTGGACACCCTACGGAGGAGCAGCAGGGGAAGAAGAACAAACAAAGCTGTACATCACACTACATACTGAGACAAAGGATACAGAATCCTTTAATCTGCAGCATTCCACATCTTTATTTTAATTTTTAAAAAGTGTCATAATGGCAACAAAAACACAGTTATTCTATAAATGTATTTTAGATGCTGCTATGGTAAATTATAAGCTAAAGTAAAAGTAAAATGTTGGCAAACTTTCTGGTCGTATTACTCCAAATGACCAAAATTATAAAGGGTGAAAGTGGCACTAATTTCTTCACATGGTTTGAGCCATCTGTCACTGGCAGACTCCAACCAGCTGTGAAGGCGAGCAGCATCCCCACTTAGCTCCTTCTAACAACTCTGAATTATTAACTTATCTTCCATCACACTGTGGAGACTGTTTCAAAACCAGAAGGCACATTTGGTTTATTAAATGTAAATGCTTAGGGGGACTAGTGGACAGCATCTTACAGGTCATTTAGCTGTGGATGCACTGTCCTGAGTTCTTCTCTCACAAAATGTTAAATGCCTTATTAACTCCCAGGGGAGAAATATCTCGACTCGTTTTTTTCTTGTTCTCAGTATGTCAAATTTCAACTTAGACAGCTACAAACCAAATATGTGACTACCATACCAGGGATAATAAAAAGCTAACACAGAACAACACCAGTATAGTAATAATAAAACATAAAAACACAGACAAAACAGAAATCAATAAGCTATTGTACAGATGAGCTAATATTGGATAGTAAGATCCAAAGCAGCCCATCTTCAAATGTTCATGGTGGCTTGTACAAACTCTGTTTTATAAATCTTTACATTTCTTTCAGTTTTAATTTACAGAAAGTGGCTGTAAAATCATCCAGCAAGCTGCTGCCACTATTTGAACATGCATTAAACAACATCATGGAAATAACCATGTGATGTGAAACTGATGGCAGTGTAAAAAAATAATAATAGTGTTTACATAAATTGCTATTAAGTTTAAATATTTGTTGTAAAACTGCAGAAATCCACTTTGGTCTTAGCTGCATTTGGGTTAGCCATTAGCTTCCCAATGTAGTCAGAATTAAAACTATTTCTTCAAACAGATTGTTTAGTCGAGGAAATAGCAATAAAAACCTGGCATGTTGTTGTTAATATATCTGGAGAAAAAGTGCCTTTTATGATGTAAAGATGCACTCTACTATGTCTGGAGCAAATATGTCTGCCAATACTTAAGAATATATTTGTGAGGTGTCTTTTCAGGTGCATGTGAAAAATGTTGTGACTGATGTCAGAAAGATTCTGAACAAACAAGCTTCATTGTTGGCACCTGCTAACTAGACATGCTAATGCTGCTAACAAGATCCTCCATCTGCCTGCACGGACCGTACTCTACGGACCCGTTCGGTTCCGTGAAGAAACCCTGGATGTTCTCTGTCTGCCGGACCCGGTTCTGAAGGGCAGTCTGGGAGGCAGCTGCTGCAGTCATTATTATCATCAAGCTGCTGACGGGACCTGCTAACAAGATCTGCTAACGCTGCTAAAAGACCACGCCACTAGCCGAACCTCACTGCTAACAGTACCATGGTGCCAATGGGACCATGGACCTGTAGATTGATTTCTTTTTCAGTTTTGGCGCCTTGTTTTTGTATATTTTTTTGCATGCTTTGATGGGGGGTTTTTTTCCGAGTCGAGACAGTTCTTTTTGTCCTGAGCATTTCATTGTATTGCTCATCTTGTGTTGATTTTACATATGACAAATAAACCAAACCTGAACCCTGTGTCAAGTTTGGTGGAAGGTTTAGATCTAAAATGCAGACTGGACTCGAGGATTTAAAAAAAAAAAAAAGTATTTACAAAAGTACAAAGAAAAGTGCTGACGTGGCAATCACGAGCTAACAAACTTGAAAAGGCTCAGGAAAAAAAACACGAGGGCATGAGGAGGAACGAGATGGCAAACAGCTGAGGAATAGACCAAAGCCCAAAGCATAAGGAAAAACAACCATTTTCACCTGGCAAGAAGACAGCCATAAACAGCTGGCATGGCAAGAGCAGAACAGACGACTGGAGAATAATGAACACAGGAAACACAAGTAAAACCAACAGGCAAAAGAGACTATTCTAATCCCAAAACACAAAAAAGTATAGACAAAATCAACCACAACCAGATACTAAAACCCTGGGAAAAGATCTATTGTGAAACTGTTCATCTATTTTAAACAGGTAATTGTTGAGATGTCCCAGCAGTCAATCTCTGACTCCCTTGTTCACCTACAAGGTAAAAAAAATCCTACTTTATTGGCGACCACAAAGGGATTCCAGGTTTATGGAAGAATGGAAGCAAATCTGGGGCAGGTCACAAAATGTGTTACTACTTCAGCCGCCAGTCTATTAAAACATTACTTTAAAAATATGCATTTAATGTATTTGTAATTAAACCAATCAAACACACTGCTGAATAACATTTTTAGTCTTTTTTTTTTCCCAGTCTACCAAAGTTCCTACGATCAGTGACGCAGAGTTTGACTGTGAAGCTTGAACACAGCAACTGTCCTGGTCAAAACACTTAAAGCTATTTTTGACGTTCTGCAGAGTCCAAAGTGCTACAGTCCATGTTGTGTCTGCACAAGGAAAAATGGATGAATTATTAAAGAGCTTTATGTTGATGCTGCAGGGTTTCCAGTACATCATCCCTCCCCCAAAGAGGAGCCCTTAAATTTTTAATAAATCCTGTGGAGTCCACAGGAGTGGGACTGATAAGAGTCACAGCAACAAGCGGAGGGTAGCTAATTGGATTTTAACATGTTAAAGGAAATCCTCAAGGAAGAATATGTTTCTACTAAAGGCCAATATGTGTATGTGAACCCCCTTGTTGTATGTTCTACATGCAACACAACCACAAGCTCAGTACAAGTGTGTACTGGTGAGCTTGTGTTCATCAAGGTGATTTAATAAAACACACACATAAAACATAAAACAAGATTAGGGAGGAAGCCAGACTTTTGTTGGGAGCACAGGTGACATTTCCATCTCTAATAAATTGAACACCCTGAATATTGCAGCAAGAACACTGATTTGATTATGTTCACACACAAAAAAAACTCACAGCTGGGTCACACTTTAGGAATTAATGGATTACAGTCCCCGTACAGAGATGGCTGATGACATTTTGTTGCACTGAGCCCTCAAGTGTATTCACATAAAAGTCACAGCGCCGCTTCCGTGAGATGAAACATTGTGTTGAATGAACAACTGACGAGTGTAGCATTTCATAATAACCGATCTGACTCAGGGAAGTGCAGCAGTATAATAGGCACCATGTGCCGTGCACGCCTGCAGCCACACGCAGCTGCTTCTTTGAGCTCCACATGTGGCGATTTAATTTGCACCGAGAAGACGGGAACTGTACCCGGGTGAATTCTGCTTTGGCTGAGCACCTTCACTGATGGTTAATTAAAAACACAAATAGAAGCGCACAGATAATACACACAGGAATAATAAGGGGGGGAAGAGCATCTGCAGACAAGCGAAAGGGGAAAATGTAAAATATCCTCAAGTTAAATGCAAAAACTGTTTGAACAAGTGAGCGTTCTTGAATAAAATAACAAAATGATTCTATCCACCCCTTCATCCATTCCTTGTTTTGCTAAAGGTCATTAAAAGGAACAGTTTAGATGTTTTGGGTCATGTGGAAAGACTAGACGATGAACATCTTGGTTTTTTTTTGTAGGTAGCTCGTTAAATAGCTTTAGTTTAGAGTTTATTTCTGACCGTGCTGATGAAATAATGGCTAGTCTAAGCAAGAAAAGATCAAAGTGGCCTGATACTACCTTAAACCAACTTCAGTCTCAAATATGTTATGTATTTTTTTATTTTATACCACAAATATTATTATTATTAATATTATTTT